TTGCGGCGGTCGTAGTCTTCGTTGGAGTAAGTGCTGAAGACCTGCCAGGGTGGAGGGGGCTGCTCAGGGGTGGGGGAACACCACAGCCATCCAACATCCCAGCACCCGTGGCCAAGGGGGCATCCCAGGGCAGGGGGAGCCCTGGGCATAGGGGTGTTACTGAGCCTATGGGGAAGGAGGGAGGGATGGAGGATGGAAGGAGACATGGAAGGAAGGAAGGACAGATGGATGGATAGAAGGATAGAAAGACAGATGGATGGATGGGTGGATGGATGGATGGATAAAAGGATGGATGGACAGAGAGACAGAAGGACGGATGGATGGACAGAACTAGAGTGGGGAGGATGGAGGGATGGACAGATGGATGGATGGACAGACAGAAGGATGGATGGATGGATGGACGGACGGACAGACAGATGAGTGGATGGATGGGGTGGACAAGCACTGCCTGCTCTGAGTCTCACACTTTGGGGAGGGCAGAACTGGCTCCTTCCTCCCTGCTCCCCTCATCCTCCCCTTCCCCAGCCTCCCCAGCTCTCACCCCACCACCTTCTCGTGGCCCAAACTGCCCCACGGGAGCAGGGAAGGGCTCTCCTGGGCAGCTTCACCTCCGCTGCCCTTCCCTGCACCTCACCTCTGCCTGGGTCCCTCCATGCGGGCCTGAGCTGCCAGCCCGGAGCCTGGGCACCCAAACCTGTCCCAGCACAGAGGTCCCCAGCCACCATCAGTCCCAAGGGAGCAGGGATGGGGACAGCCAGGACCGGTGAGGCTGAGGGGCTGAGGGGACACCCCTTTGCTCAGCCCAGGGCTGGGTGACACTATGACAGGCACTGAGGTCGGACGTGCCACCAGGACGACGTCCCCAGCCCACGTCCCCACACCCCAGAGGCTGCCAGCACCCCTCTCCGGATGGGGCCATGCACTGAGCCTGACAGATGTCCCCAGATGGGCCCCTGTCTGGCGATGGCGCCAGGGGGTGGTGGATTAGGGATAACACTAAAGCCTCGCAGGGGATGAGTGTCAAGGGCCGTCGCACAATGGCCGGTGACACCCACAGATGGGCAGGACCCACGTGGGTGGCACCCAGGGGCGCTGGGGATGAGCAGGGCAGGGGACACTGCCACTGTCACCCTGTCTCTGTGTGGTCCCTGGGGGGCTGTAGGCACCCGAGCCTACAGATATGGGAGCACATCCCGGCTCACCCCGCTGTGCCTCTCATCCCTGTCCCCACGTCCTGGGGGGTTTGGGACGTGCTGGGGGCCTGGAGCGGTTTCCAAGGGAGAAGCAGCCAGAGCTGGCACATTCCCAGGGGCTGGCTGTGGGTGCCTCCCTCTCTGGGTGCAAGGTGCCTGTTTTGGGGTCCTTATGGGGGTTCCCAACCTCTACGGTGGGTTTGGAGGCTCAGCATCACCCATGCACCTGGGGGGGGAGTCAGGGTGCTCAGATGCCTGGGTCCCCTCCCCACCCGTGCACATGGGACCCCCACCATCACCCTAAGGGTGGGTAAAAGTGAGACCCTAAAGGCCCTACTGGGGGGCATAGAGCACCCCAAAACCCTCAGCTGCCCATCCAAGGTAGGAGGAGGACACCCTTCCTAGGCCGGTTCCCATGGGACCAAGCCCCCCCCGCAGCGTGCAGCCATCCAGTCCATGGCCACTGCTGTCCCCTGCTCCGGTCACGGCGGGCCCCGTCCCCCCTGTCCCAGGTAGGGGCCACCCACCCGCTCTGACTCAGAGCCAGAATATAGGCCGGGGCTCTAAAAATAACCCAGCTCCGGCACAAAGCGATCGCTGCTGCTCCGGTCGGGGGGATTCAAGCAGGATAGGACACCCCAAAATAGCTGCACGGCCCCCTTTCCCCCCACCCCATTGCTGGGGGAGCAGATGGGGCCCCAAAACCCAGCCGCGGTCCCTGCTGGGGTATGGGGG